ACATAGAGCGGTTCTGGATTTGTATAGTGGAGTGAAATGAAAGAATCAGATGGTATTTAAAATTGTTTTATATGGGAAGTAGGCGTGGTTTTTGTCTTTTGATTTTACCCATTTTCGTAATGTAAGATATTACCTAGCGAATTTGGTTGAAATTGGTCGGTTTGGTGCGAAGTTATGGGTTTTCACCTAAATGTGAGCGGTGCCACGCTCATCTTCCAAAGCTCCTATAAAGCCTTGTCGTCCCATCTCGGGCTTAAAATTTGCATTTCTGGTGCATTTATTTAGAGATTTATCGCATTTTAGTAGTTTTTAACAAAATCGTTATATGAGGAGTGGGCGGGGTTATGATCCGAATCCAACGATTTTTACAGGGTGGGTAGGAATGCCATTTGCTTTGAGCAGATTTGGTTATTATAGTTTGAATAACTTAGGAGATATGTGCATAAAACATATTAGAGGGCAGGGCCACGTCACCCTTTTAAAATTTTTTTCAACCATAACTGCCTTTCTCTAAGTCAATTTGTTGTACTAAATAACCGCCTTGTATCCTATTTTGGAGCTTAATTATGGCACTTTATAGATTTTTGATTAATGTCATTTTGTAGACATGGCAATATTACGATTCTGCCCATCTGCAATACCAACCCTACTTGGGTGTCAAGGAACATGTGCACGTAGTTTCATCAAAATATCACAATTTTTACTCAAATTATCGGTTGCATTTCTAGTAGCATAAAAGTTGCATAAAAAGAACTTTATATTGATTATCATAGTTCGGTTTGTATGATACCTACTTGTATATGTTACAATAGTCCTATCTAACCAATGAGCTCGGTGATTGTAGCGCTGCCGTGGACAATACTCTGTGCCGAAATACGTGAATATATCTTGTCAAATGAAAAAGCTTTCCATACTCTTTAGTGCTTTACAAGCTTTGTGACATACTAAATATACCATGTTTAGAACACGTAAAATAACTTGTTTTGGTTGAGAACCTTTTAACTACATTCGGGAAGTGATAAGCAAAATTGTGTAAGTCGTTGTTTTCAGAAAACTCACTTTAAAATTTTAATATAATGCCTCAGATATCTACCTTGCTAACTGCCTCTACTAACTGCAACCCTACAACTAAATTCTATTATTCTAAGAAGACATAAGTCATCGAAATAGGTGCTACAACTCTCTGATCATATGTCTCTAAAATGGATCGTAGTTTCAGAATGCTATGTAAAGAAATACGTAAATAAAATCTCATCCATACATAGCTGCAAGACTATTCTGTAGACATCCAATAAAGCTTTCAATTTTACCGCTTTGATGCATCAAAGTGCACAATTCTTGTGAGCAGCAAATTTCTCGATCAACTGTCTTGCTTTCAGGAAATTGCACGGCCATTCTTACAGCTTCTATGAATTCCATTGCACAGGCTGTCACTTCGCACACATGACAGCTATCATGGGCAACGCTATGACATAACGCTTACAGAAAATGAAATCATGTCTACGATTGCATTACCACAATACGTGTTAGTTATACCCTCTACCGTTAGACGATGGCATATGCGATATCCTTAGTTATTCAAACGAGGTAATGAGGCAGCGCAAGGCTGCAGCAACAGTGTCATACTTGTATGTGGTTGCGGAAAATGATTTTCTATTTTGCATGTGCATTTCAAGTAGTAGTAGTATTGTACATATGTACATTACCATGTGCATAACTGCATATGTATGTGGTTTACTTTGAATATTTCAAAAAAAAAAATAAAAATTTTTTTTTAAGAAACTCAACTGAAATGGAAGTGCAATTAATTAATAAGCGTTGGGCTTGACATGCTACTGGAAACGCTAAACTGAGCATATAAAATTAGAATCGAAAATAACAGTAATTTCAAATGGCAAAATGCATACACATACAAACGCATGCAAAGGCATTCATTTAAGAAACTGCACACTTTTCGTTGAAATGAGCGTAGTAAAATTGGTTTGTCGCTCATTATGTGTCCCCAGCCCACGTATACATATGTACACATGTACAAATACACACACACTAGCACTTAAACATGATTTATGTGTTGTTGTACGAGTAGTTGCTGCTGCTACATTTATGCACATACATCTCTACGCTTGCAGTCAAGCAAATCGCCACATTTGCGTTGAGCATAACACCAGTCTAACGTTGAGGCCAAACTGCAATAATGCTTGCTGCTCGACTCCTTTCAACCAGCGCGCTGCTGCTGCTAACCGTGCCACTGGGGTTGGCAGCAAAGAGTTGTGGCAATATTTGTGGCAAACAAACACTTTATGGGAAGTGCTTAGCGCGCGCTGCAGCTGCTGGAATATCTGCGGCTACGACCGATACTAGACGTGGTGTACAGTAAGCCGGGAAAGCGCGCAACAAAACGGGAACAAACAAGCGCACACAACATAGTGCTGATGCTATTATGTTAGATTGCCAAAGCTGACATACTGAATGCGCGCACACATATACACACATGCATATGCACATGTCTGCAGCATTTTCGTGTAGTTTTACCATTACATTATAGCCTTGCCGTCCATTAGTGTAATTCATTTTGCTAAAAGTTCTCGCCTGTCGCTCCATATGCGCTCGTATGCGACACATACACGTTTATTTATTTGCGATGTGAAATACATTTTAATAAATAATTACATTATAATGTATATTGTAACGATCAAAAAATAGCGTTCATTACTATTTTATAGGTCGGCACGTGTAGTGATTGCTGCGTTGCACTTGACAAGGTTACTCATACGCCACCGTGACTTCCCTCTTGACCGCTGTACACAAACTTTTCGTTTCATAAAGAGTGCGGCAACACGAACACTCACGCATTTCTATGTTTAATAGACACATGCGTGCCTAAATATTCTTAAACAAATAAATAAAAAAATCGCCTACCTTACAACGTACACATAAAAATTGTTTGGTTTTGTCAGCAGTATTGAATTCAGTGATGTGTGATTTATTTGCGCTTTTATGTATTGACATGGCATGACAGTTGCGTGTATTTAAATACAATTGTTTCCAGAATCGAGCAAATCTGCTTGCTTTATGTTGAATAGTAGCTTGCTCAGCTTTACTAACATACACATACATTTAGATACTGCGCTTAGCAAAAGATAAATCGTCGTATCGAAAAAAGAAGGAAGTAAAATACGAAAAAGGTTCAAGCTGTGATTTATGGCTAAAACAAGTAAGGTGAAACTATGTCGCGCTGTTTGACTGTATTATAAAAAGTGTAAATTTATGTTGTTTATCCGTTACAAGTGACAATATTTTGATGAAACTTCATTTTTTATGCATAGTTCTTTACATGCAAGTTTATTTTATATTGATAAAAGGCATAAACTCTTCACTCTTGAGTTAAGTTGAAAAGGATGAAAAGGAAAAATTGATATTTAATAGATTATGTACGCTTTTGCATTAAAACCAAATAATTTATAAAAAAGTCTACATTCTGCAAACATAATTTTCTATTTTGAACTGGAATGCAAAAAATCGTAAAGTTTCACATTACTTTTATATGAAATTTAATACTAACTTAGGTTAGGTTGATGCGATGGATTCGATGGATCTCACTTGTACAGATATTTGTCCTTTGTGTTATCCATAAACTCCTAAAACTGGTTCACTAGATTCTCGTAGATCGACAAAGCGTTTTGAGCTTACAACAAATTTATTAAGGCGGGTAATATCAATCCCAGCCACTAGGTGATCCATAGCTGTGCTTACCGAGATATTTCACTCTCAGTCTGAAGCCAGGCAATGGAGAAGAAAGTGACAAGATGATTCCACTTCGCCTTCATTCATACAACTTTGGCAGAGAGCTTATTGAACAGTATACATTCAGAACACTAACAATTGCGGCGAGATTTAGTTTGCTAAGAGCCAGTAGTTTGGAGGACCTCTAATATTTCATTCTGGGCCAGAGGGATCTCGTAGTCGCATAAGTTTCCACGCCATAAGACACGCTTCCAATCGGATAAAATTGGCGCAAGGATGCATTTCTTAGTAAGTTCAACAGCTTTGCGTGAAAAAGCTCACTGCTTCTCTTTTCCAACGGCTTCGCCCCGCCCACTAATTTCTCGAAGGTGATGAGTTGTGAAGAACTTCAGTGTGTTGCTGCCCGAGACCCCTCATATACATAGTATCCCTAAGCCTAAAGCAGCCTTTGCCGCCAAGCATCTATCAGCTATGTCTACAGGTGCAACGTGTAAAATGGCATTGAATGCCATGCGGGCCGTTATTTAAACCCGCTTCAGCTGCTTAGCTAGTGTGGTTTTTCCGACCGCCCTCCACCAGACGACGACCCTATAAAACATTATTGACTTAACTACAGTTTCATAAAGCAAGAACATCACATTTGGTGATAAGCCCACCTATTACCAATTGCTCCTCTACGTCCGATACTTTCACGACACTTGCCGCTTGACGATCCTAAATGTAGGCAGCATTTACTAGCCAAGACATGCACCATCTACAATAATATTATGATTAATTTGTCGAGTATTTAATAAAAGTTGTGGTTGAACTTTGGTGTTAGTGAAGTTTGTAAAATGGTTAGAGTTTCCGTCAGAATTTTTGAAATACATAAATTTATTGCAAAGAAAAGTATTTTCTTTTGTTTTATTTAAACGTATTTTTTTCTTATTCAGCTAAATTTTGAATTTTAAAAAACATCTTACTTGAATACCTTTTCTTAATATTCTTGGATTCAGTAAATCGCCTTTGTTTTTGAGCTCAACAATATCCAGAATTCACTCGAAAGCTAAAGTGATAAAATCAAGCATACTCCAACTATAAGCACACTATATCCCAATATTATTCTATACATGCCCTATTGTAGAGATAGTAAGAATGTTTGGCTGAAACATATACATACAAACGTTTCCACCGCAATTTGAACACCCGAATGTACATAGTGTACGAGTAGATAAGCTTTTTTCTTTTGTTTTTAGTTTTTTAATTTTATTTTACAGAACAAAGCTTCATAACCAACCGGCTGCCTTGACTTCCTTGTACGATTCTGTTGAACGTTTTAGCGGATGTGTGACATATTGAATTGCTGCACGCACACTTGCTTGCAACACAAATTGTGGCAGACAAGCCGAAAAGTTTACGCTCAACTTCCGTGCGTCAGCAAATACATGTAGAGCCATGTGTGCGTATATGCGCACGTGTGTGAGCTTGTGTGTAGATATGTGCGTAAGAACAGCCTGTCAAAGAAAGGTGAGCATTTATTATAAGTGTGTAGGCGGTACATATATATTATATGTTATATATATGTATTTGATATATATAATTTTAAACGGTGCGAAAAAGTGTGTTTGAGTTATGTGTGTAATCAGCCTGAGACTTGAAGTCTGCTGCAGTTGAAATATTGCAAGGTCTGCTCCTAAATGTATGCAATGTGTGTACGTGCTATGTGTCACATTTCAGTGTTCTCAAGCTTTTGTTAGTTTGAAAAATATAAAATATGTTACAAGATATTGCCGCCGCTCTCTTTTCCACCCCCCAGTGTGTCGAAATTGAAGCAAATACAATACCGAACGAAAGGTATTCAGCGTATTTGTTCCATCACCCACAACACACTCACCCATTCACTTCGACGACATTATGTCTAACTGCCAACTGTCAACTGCTCGGTTGCTGCTACTTTGTCTTCGGTGCTTTCGCAAAGCACTTCATCTGATTTGCCCTTCTTGCAGCGGCACAAAGAACGTCAAGCCAGATGTTATATTTGTCAAAGGTGACTTTGCCTGTTCCATGTGCTCCACAATGTCTTGACTTCAGAATGCTTTTGTTCATGTTGTTGTTTTTATATTGCAAACAAAAGATATAGTAGCAAGAGAAAAGAAAATATTTTTATTGTCAAAATAGCTTAGTGATTTTTATTGCGCTGGTGACTGCTGTGGACCGGCGACACACACGTGTGTGTCCACATGTACATGCATGTGTATAGAAATATGTGTTTCTCGGGTGTAGCGAGTTCGCAGACGCCATTGTTTTCTTATTTTTCTGCTAAAGTGCACCATTTAACTTTCTTCCCTTTTATTTTTCACAAATTTTTGTATTTCAAATAGTTTATTGTCGCAAGCAAATATGTCTTCGATATGTTTTAGAATTGCAAAGCAATCAATGTTCTAGCCGAGCTTGAAGCATTTTGTAAACGGTTTAGGTATTTTCTATGTCTTTCCATATTTTCTAAATTCATAAAGTTCTGTGATTGAATTTCATCAAAAGGAACAGCAATATATAATACATAAACAATTGCTTACTATCTCAAATTCTATATAATAGACCCTGCAACATCGTTTAAATATCAACTACTCTTTCCTTCATTATTATTAGAACTAAAAATATTTATTTCAATAATATTTTAATATTTTTCGCTTACCAAAGTCTAGTTGGTGTCAATATTATGTAACAAAAATAACAATAAAAGTAGTTTGTATATCGACGAAATCAAATTCAATCAGACATTCGGCCATTTGTTCCCACTATACCGATATTTAGTATATTTTGTCTGTCTGCAAATTAAATATTAATAAATTTTCAATAGAAAATCTCAACAACTGTCAGTTTCTATGTCATTATACAAATTTACATATAACCGAGATAATAAATACTGAGTTTAATATATTTAATTAAATACGCTTTGCTAACCGCTTTATCGAACGAGTTTTTCCAGCTGTGTGTGATTTTTCATAATGGCGATAAAGCATTCAAAGCTTGATTAATAAAAAAAGCTCACATTCATACTTATATGGCACGATTACAATGCATAAATTCATATCAATTTTATTGTTTCTATTTTATTTGTACTCACGAAGTCCACAACGCTAATGTATGTATGTGTATATATACGCAGTCATTTAATAATATGCATATTTATCCATATACATGTGCATTTATGTTTTCCACGTTTTGTTGCTGCACATAAAAATGCCAGATTTATGGTACTTATGACTGTGTCAAAAGCTTTAGGATTATGAGCGACATTGTATTTCTGTTTGCGATATAGGGTCTCACGTTTGCGCATATTTTTTTATTGAAAACTAATTTTGCCTAACTAAATTTCAACTGCTCAGCGGATTAGATGCGCATATATGGTTTAACTGTAAATAATATTAGTTCTGGCTATTTAGCCAAGCTTGAACGCATCCTATTACGCTGCTAAAAAAATATTTATTTTTTGAAATTTGATAATTTGTTGGCAACCGTCAGTCTAATCAGCTCTGGAAATACTTATGATGTTTTATTGTGTTCGAATTAAGGCCGATTTTCCATTTAAGAAAGTCATTTCTTATAGACACTTCCATAGTTATAACCTGTCAGCTAATAATCGTGGAAACAACTTATAACTCTTCTTTTCTATAATTTGGATAATTGAGGAAGCCATCAAGAGATTTTGTATCTGTTTTGTCCAAAATTTGTAGAGACGTTAAACATTTCAAGTGCCGAAAACTGTAGTTGGTTTCTTGTATGTACTAGATGCAATTGATGATGACCGATAGTAAGACCGACGGTTTTATTTGAGTATATAACAATTTTTATGGGCTTAGATCTATAATACGATAACTCTCTTCAAGAGCCACTGGAACAAAAATTTGTTTCTGTCTTATGAGTGCAACTTATTTGTCAACTTAGAAAGTGGCAAATCGAACAAATAACTGGTATAAAACAAATTGACTAAGACAATTGAAAACAGTTAACATAGAAATGTTTCTACACTCTTGTATTGCAGTCAACTAGATAACTTTGTTGTTGTTTTCTCTAGTAAATTTTTGTTAGCGAATCAAGAACAACAGACATTTACTAGTATATAGTTATTAAGTAATTTACTCCAAGGTAAGTTAGCGTGCCCATCACCTGACCCACTTAGCTGCGATATTGAAATAAGCACTTTATCGATTGCAACTAAGTTAAGTTTGTTTCGTATTTTGAATACAAAACTGACATGTCAATTAATATAATTTGCAAAATTATTACATGCCAAGTCGATTGATTGATTTAATTTTATTTGGCATAACTCAGTACTTTATTTAATCATTCTACTGATGAGTATTGAATGCACAAGTGCAACGGTTGCTGGTGAGTAGGTCAATGTGTTATTGAAATGCATGCAAATTGCGAAATTATCTTGTATGAAAATAATAATTTAACATATTTGCAACGCGGCTTTTTGCTGCTATCAATTAAATAAATCAAAATTGCTATTTTGTGATTGATTTCTGTTCGCTCGGGGGGAGAATTGTACAAAGTGCTTAGTAAAATGTATTAAATAATAAATTTAGTATATAAAATAGCTTGTTAGAAGTAATGGAACTCAAAATGCGTTTAAAAATATATTATTATATAATAATATTATATATATTATTAAAATTACCATAAATCCTTTTCCACTTAGTTAATACAATTTATATTGTCGATAGGGAAGGCTTTGTTGTTTCAGAAAATATTTAAGAGGTTGTAGTGGTTCTTAACTGTCAAAAAAGCATGAAAGAAAACAGCCACAAAAATTGAAACTTTATTATCCATATGAAAAAATGTTATATTTGTTTAAAAGAAAAAAATATATTCGATGTTGTCTGAGAATCCTATTTAAATTTCAAGTCAATCAGTAAAGAATTGTACGATGTATTGATATAATTTACAAGATCTTGAAGGAAGGAGTTTTTTCAATCAGAACTATTTAAAAATAAAAAGCCATTAAGAAATTGTCAACAAAATTTGCTTTTTTTTGTCATTTCACATTTTTTATTTTTCCTTCATCCAATAATCCAGTTTATGGTCTTGATTCAAACGCGAATTTTTTTCTTTTTTACTTTTGATGACCCTGTAAAAAGTTCTGCTGTCAACGCGCAGGCACGTCTTTTTTCGAGGAACAGTCGGAAACGATCCGTAATGGCCGAGTTTTCAATATTTTCCTTTGAAATTTTCACAAAATCTTGGCGAAATATGTATCTTTGTAATAATAAAAAGTTTGAATCAAATATTTAATTTTTTATATGAAAAAACAAACTATTGAAAAAAAGGCGTTTATTGCTGGATGAAACCCTTGTAGTCCCTTAAATTGCTGCTATTTGAAATACTTTCAAATTAATTATTAAATTGATTTTGTTTTTTAAACCCTAAGGTAGCTCTTAAGCGAAAAAACAAGTTTTTTTTAAATTCTAGAGTGCTGCAAACCCTTTGTATTTGAAAAAATGTTACTTTGACGAGTGTTCTTTTGACACTCGGTTATAAGATGACGTGGCTGTAGTAATAATATTTATCTGAATACAGCGCACCACTACAAAGTGACGAGAAGTTGTTGCTGTCTCAACGTTCGTCGCTAGAATTAGATTTAATGTTCGCAGGGCAATGCCCTTCTTAAATGTGGACAAATGCGCAACACCATTGCTTAATGGCGACAATTGTGTTTTTACGGTGTATTTTCTATTATTTATGTACAATAAAAGCAGCCTTAACGGCATGTGTCTGTGTTGTTGCAATTTAAATGCAATAATTGTTGCAAACACAATAAATTAATGCAATTTAACACATTGCATTTATTTACCCACAATCCATGAAAACTTCCCGTTTGCATCAATGGTGTGCGTTGCTGCAACAATTGACAAGCATTATGCGCACTGTTGTTCCTTCGGTGCGGCATAAGATTGTGGCAGTGTCGTATAATTTATGCCACACAACGTGTGAAAGCGCTAAACTTTTGCACGCAGCGTTTGTCAGGCTCATTTGACAAGCCGTCAATGCCCAAGCGCTTAGTTCCATTTCCAACATGCATTGAATTACTTTTGAGAGACATTAGACTTGACATTTGGCTTCCATTTGTGCGTTGAAGTGCGGTAAAGTTAAGTGTATTGATGCGCTGTGACGGGGCCAAAGGCGTACAAATAGAAATACTGTTGGTGCTGTTGCTCAAGTGGTTGGCTGTTGGCTGTTGGAATTGCTGTTGGCATTTGGCGCGTAAGCTTTGACACTTGGAGTTGTGCGCGTTGAAATGCTAAAGCCAATTATGTATTGACAAACACTTTAAATGCGCTTGACATGTGCCGCGACATGAAGTTGGCGAATCAACAATAATTTTATGAAAACAATAATAATAGCGAATTGTTAGTAGAATTCATAAAAATATATTATATATGTATGTACGATTATGTCAGGTAACAAAGAGCTACGCTCGCCGGCAGAAGAATTTCAAAAAAATAAGGGGGTATTTACTC